CGACCACCCAGCGCTGTGATTGGAGGAGGCGTTTAACAGCTGACTGCTTTCACTGCTCCCTGGTGTAAATGAAGCCTCCTTTGAAAGAGCAGTCTATCTGAGAGTAGCTCGTTCATGCTGCTTGGATTGGTGTAGCACCGGAGCCTGAAATCTGTACATCTTAAAACTGTCCAGCTTGCCAAACTGGATGCTTAATCTTTATTCGTGTGGGAAGCATCGCAATTAAAATCAGGCATACCATACCGCATCAATTTAAAATATAAAATAGAAGATTAAAATATGTACAAATTCAACAGCTCTTTTCCCAGACATTAGCAACATTCATGGGGTGCCAAACCGGTTTAGGTATGAACCCAGTAGGAGCCATAATTGGTTTAATTTTGTCTTTATTTTATTTTTTATTTTAAAAAGGTGGCTTCTGTTTTTAAATTGAAAAGTTTGCCTGCCTTTTATTTTTGTTAAATTCAGATGTCCCCATCTCGCTATCAAGCAATCACAGTACAGGCAGTTCTTAATAATAATAATAATAATAATAATAATAATAATAATAATAATAATAATAATAATAATAATAATAATAATAATAATAATAATAATAATAATAATAAAGTTGGAAGGAGCCTTGGAGGTCATCTAGTCCAACCCCCTGCTCAGGCAGAAAACCCTATACCATTTCAAGACAAATGGCTGTCCAGTCTCTTCTTAAAAACTTCCAGTGTTGGAGCATTCACCACTTCTGGAGGCAGGTTGTTCCACTGGTTAATTGTTCTAACTTACAACAATTCATTTAGTGACCGGTCAAAGCTCCAACGGCACTACAAAAAAGATGATGTAACCATTTTTTTCACACAATCGTTGCGGCATCCCCATGATCACGTGATCAAAACTCAGAATTTGGCAACCGACCTCGTATTTACGACGGTCGCAGTGTCCCCTTTTGCGACCTGACAAGCGAAGTCAATGGGTGAAAGCCAGACTCACTTAACAGATGTGTTACTAATTGAACAGCTGCAGTAATTCACTTCACAACTCTGGGAAGAAAAGTTGTAAAATGAGGCAAAACTCAATAAATAATGGTCCCGCTTAGCAACAGAAATTTTGGGGCTCAATGGCGGTCGTACGTCAAGGACTACCTATGTAAAACATTAAATGAGGATTATAAGGCCGCCAAAAAATATGAACAGCTTAATTCCTTTTCCAAAAACTTAATTTTTCCCCACGAGTCTGGACTCCTGAAATTTAAGGCACGGGTTACTTTGTCAGTCTGGAGATGTCGCCTTAAAGTTACAGCCTTTTCAATAAATCACATTTAGTTTTTCTCCTGGGCCCCGTCTCCTCTTTTGAATGCAGCCCATAGCCTGAAGCCAAACTGCATTAATTAGCCCTGCATTAATTTTTCTGAAAAGGGAAGGCAGTTGAATTTTGTGCTTTGGAATTGAAAGGTAAAATCTATTCAAAATGGTAGTTTTTGTTTTTTTTACAAAAAGGCCGCAGTTTATTTTCTTGCTTGAATAGAATAACTGAATAAGGGAGTTGGAAGGGACCTTGGAGGTCTTCTAGTCCAACCCCCTGCTCAGGCAGGAAACCCTATTCCAGGGCTAGGCAACCTTGGCTCTTTTATGTCTCGTGGACTTCAACTCCCAGAATTCCCGGCAACCTTGGCTCTTTTATGACTGGTGGACTTCAACTCCCAGAATTCCTGAGCCAGCCACGCTGAGGGGAAAGGGAGAGGTCTCCAAGCTGAGCCATGCTGGCTCAGGAATTCTGGGAGTTGAAGTCCACGAGTCATAAAAGAGCCAAGGTTGCCTATCCCTGGCCTAGTCCATTTCAGACAAATGGCTGTCCAGCCTCTTCTTAAAAACCTCCAGTGATAAAGCACCCACAACGTCTGGTGGCAAGCTGTTCCACTGGTTATTTGTTCTAACTGTTGGGAAGTTTCTCCTTAGTTCCAGGTTGCTTCTCTCCTTTGATTAGTTTCCATCCGTTGCTTCTTGTCCTGCCTTCATGCGCTTTGGAGAATAGCTTGACTCCCTCTTCTTTGTGGGACCCCCTCAAATACTGGAAGACTGCTATCATGTCCCCCCTAGTCCTTCTCTTCATTAAACTAGACATACCCAATTCCAATAGACCAGCAACAGTTTATGCAAGGCTCTTATTAAGCTGTCTCTGTTGCAAACATGGGGAGAAAAAAATAATTATGCATTAATTCTAATAGCAAATTCCAATAGGATCAGATGCTCCCAGTGAAACTTGCTGACTTGCGCCACATGTCCGGTTTGACATCCTTAAATTGTGTTGCCGATGTTGCTGGATGTTGTTTAGCAATCTCGGGCGAAACTCATTCACATGTAAAAATAATCTAAAGCTCAGATGGGAAAGAAAGAGCCGTGAGAATTCAACATCCTGTTTTTTCTACCTTGGCATATATAAGAAGGATGGACTTCAACTCCCAGAATTCCCCAGCCAGAATGCTAGAAGAAAGGCAAACTGTAGCTTGGTGGACTTGTTGGCTTCATCTCCTTAGCTATGATGGCTAACAAGTCAGAATCCACCAAGCTACCCTGACCGGAGAATTCTGGGAGTTGAAGTCCTATAATCGAGTTGATTTATATGCCAGTTTTGGCCCCGTATTTACAATGCACATAATACACTGTAAAATGTTGGCTTAGTTTCCTTAACTATGATGGCTAACAACTCAGAGTCCACCAAGCCACAGTTTGCCTTTCTTTAACCCGGCTGGGGGATTCTGGGACTTGAAGTCCTGCAATTTACATGAATTACATGCCAATTTTGGCCCAGGATTTACAAGATATATATCGTATCCCGCTAAAATCTTAACTTAATCTCCTTAACTATGACAATTAAGATATTACAAGGGTATGACGTGTATTGTAAATTCTGGGCCAAACAATGGCATCTAAATCATCTAAAGTGTGGGACTTCAATTCCCAGAATTCCCTAGCCACTGTGCATGCTGGCTGGAGAATTCTGGGAGTTGAAGTCCACATTTCTTAAATGTGCCAAGTTGCAGTGCCAACAAAGAACGTACTTAAAATTTTCTGCTCATTCTTGAATGATTGTACAAGGGAAACCACGTTAGGCTATTAGCGCCGTTTCCCACCAATGCATTTTATATGGCTATAAAGTTTTTATAAACTGCAGCTTGTGCTTTGTAATAAATATGTGAATCGCAAACAGTGCTATCAAATTTCTGGCAGCATTTGAGAGTTTCTGAGTGACATCACATTGCTAGCCCCCATAAGCCTGCCCACTCTTCCAGTTTTAACACCCATTTCTATGTAATCTACCTGTGCAGGTAGTCCTTGACTTATAACAGTTTGTTTAGTGACCGTTCAAAGTTACAATGGCACTGAAAATAAAATGACTTACGACCCTTTTTCACACTCGTGACCGTTGCAGCATCCTCAGGGTCATGTGATTTACATCCGGATGCTTGACAGCTGACTCATATTTATGACAATTGCAGTGTCCCAGGATCTGTGCTTAATAATAATAATAATAATAATAATAATAATAATAATAATAATAATAATAATAATAATAATAATAGTAAAGTTGGAAGGGACCTTGAAGGTCATCTAGTCCAACCCCCTGCCCAGGCAGGAAACCCTATACCATTTCGGACAACCGTGTCACTAACTTAACAACTGGAGTGATTCACTTCGCAACTGTGGCAAGGAAAGCCGTAAAAGGGGGCCTGTTTTTAAAAATCCTTTTCAAGCCATCTTGTCTGTTAAGGCCACGGCAATCGTGCTGCGAATTGGAAAGAAAAGTGAAATCAAGAAATGGGTGGGGTTTTTTTTTTAAAAAAAATAATAAATAAAAATTCAGAAGTATTGTGGCCATGGTGTAACTTAGAGGCTATTTCAACTTAGAGAAGATTAGCTTGCAAAAACGATGTTGGGCAATTTTGTTGAGCTTAGTGGCACTTTGCTCCAGATTACTCCATAAGGATCTCGTCCTCGGGGCTTTTTCAGGCAAGACGATTAGATAAAGTAAAGAATCTTTTCAAAAGTGAGGGACGAGCATCCATTTAGTTCCAATTTTGAGATTTGAGTCAATGACAGCCACAACTTTTGATCGGCTGAGCAAGGGGGATGCTGCGATGGTCGTAAGTGTGAAACATAGCTGTAATGATTGATGATTAGGGGACTGGAGGCTAAAACATATAAGGAATGGTTGCTGGAATTGGGTATGTCTAGTTTAATGAAGAGAAGGACGAGGGGGGACATGATAGCAGCCTTCCAGTATCTCAGGGGCTGCCCCAAAGAAGAGGGAGTCAAGCTATTTTCCAAAGCGCCTGAAGGCAGGACAAGAAGCAATGGGTGGAAACTAATCAAGGAGAGAAGCAACCTAGAACTAAGGAGAAACTTCCTAACAGAACAATTAACCAGTGGAACAACCTGCCTCCAGAAGCAATGAATGCTCCAACACTGGAAGTTTTTAAGAAGAGACTGGACAGCCATTTGTCCAAAATGGTATAGGGCAGTGATGGCGAACCTTTTAGAGACCGAGTGCCCAAAAACTGGCCCCGCCTCCGCTCCACCCCCTGCCCCGCCCCCACTCCGCCTGCCCACAGGGCCCGCCGCAGATCGCCCAGCAATGCCATGGTGGCCACGCCCTCTGCCCGTGCCCCGCAGCATCAACTGTGCATGATGGGGCGTGAGGGCAGAGTCTTGTCTACGCTGCCTGGCTGCCACGTCCTTGGCTGCGCTGGTCCGCGTGGGCCACGCTCGGGGGCGACTCTCCTCCACGGGGGCTGCTGGTGAGGAGGGGGTCGTGGGGGGAGGCGAGGCTGGGGCAACGGCACGTGTGCCCACAGAGAGGGCTCTGAGTGCCGCCTCTGGCACCCGTGCCATTGGTTCACCACCACTGGTATAGGGTTTCTTGCCTGAGCAGGGGGTTGGACTAGATGACCTCCAAGGTCCCGTCCAACTTTATTATTATTATTATGAAGTCATTTTTTTTTCAGTGCCGTTGTAACTTGGAACGGTCACTAAACGAGCTGTTGTAAGTTGAGGACAACCCCCGAGCGTAAAGCTTTATAGAAGGAGCGCAAAACATGAAAGCTTGTCCCTTACCCACTGCCTTGGAAGACACCCACCCACCCATACAAACACACACACAAACACACACACACAGGACTAGCCGTACTCTTGTGCTCCTGCAGACATTCACCCGGAAGTCTGGCTGAAGTTCAGCGTCGTGCATTTCTTTTCCCGATGAACCAATCCGGGGTGAAATGTTGCAATCTGGAACAAATGGCGAAGGGTGGTGGTGTGGGGTGTGTGTGTGGGGGGTGGGGGGGAAGTGGTCTCCCGTTGACTCATTCTTGAGGATTTCTTGCAAAATTGCTTTCTGGGTGACAAAAGTCGCCGTCCTTTGGCCCAGAGAGGGGTGATGCAACGGAGAATGGCTGGGAACGGCCGGCGGGCGAAGAAGGAAGGATTGGGTCTTTGGGGGCCAAAGATTGTGTGCGTCTTTGGGGGCTGGGGGGTGGGGGGGGCAGAGATACACACTGTCTCTTCTGTCTCACCAGAGTGGGGCAGGTTTTGTTAAAATTCTGCAGGGTATGGCCAGAAGCAAATGAGCCAAGCTGGATTTTGGAGTGCTCTGTGAAAAGTCAAAAGGATTTGGAAGGTTGGGGTCCTGGGTGCAAAAGGGGATCACATGATCCTGAGACACTGCAACCATCATAAGTACATGCCAGTTGCCAAGCCTCTGAATTTTGATCACGTGACCACAGGCGATGCTGCTTGTGAAAACTGGTCCTAAGTCGCTTTTTCAGTGCCGTGGTAATTTTGAATAGTCATTGCTATATGAATAGAATAGAAGGCCAGAGTTGGAAGGGATCTTGGAGGTCTTCTAGTCCAACCCCCTGCTCAGGGGGAGAAAACCCTGGCCTATCCCATTTCAGACATTCCTGACAGAACAATTAACCAGTGGAACAACCTGCCTCCAGAAGCGGTGAATGCTCCAACATTGGAAGTTTTTAAGAAGAGCCTGGACAGACATTTGTCTGAAACGGTATAGGGTTTCCTGCCTGAGCAGGGGGTTGGACTAGATGACCTCCAAGGTCCCTTCCAACTTTTTATTTTATCATTATCATTATCATTATTATCATTATTATTATTTGGTTCTCCAATCTCTTCTTAAAAACTTCCAGTGTCAGAGCAGTCACAACTTCTGGAGGCAGGTAGTTCCACTGATTATGAACCGTTATATGTCAAGGACTACCTGTCTTTCCATCCCCTTCCTGCTGTCTCCCCAGCACAAAGACAGTAAAACACCAAAGGGGACGCTGCTCCCTTCATCTTTGCTTCTTCCTGGATATTTTTAAGTTCCTCACTTTACGACGGTGGTCTCGCATCTAAGGGATAACAAAGGTAGACCCTGCCTAGTGGCGGGGATCGTCTCAAATCAGTCGGGGCTGTGTTGCCGATTGCTGAAGCTTTGGGTGCCAAAGTCCAGGGCAAATAAGGAGTGTTGCTTGCACTGCCATCTCCCTCACCTTGGGACTTGTGAATGGGTTGCGTGGATAATGTCAAAGGCTTTGATCCTTGTTCTCGGGGCGACCTTCTGCATGGATCACCTGCCTTTTTTTTTATCTCTTTGGAATTTACTCGAGGCTCATCAAGATAAAGCCGGAGCGTAATCCGAATTTTCTTTCTTTCTTTCTTGATAGCTGCACCTCAACTCACCATGGCTTCCACCAAGAGTGCTGATGTCGCCCCGTCTACCACCTCCACCCCGGCAGTGGAAGAAACCGAACAGAAAATAACTGAGGTTTGGAGACATTGGGAATAAATAGAATAGAATAACAGAGTTGGAAGGGACCCTGGAGGTCTTCTAGTCCAACCCCCTGCTCAGGCAGGAAAAACCTTGTGCCATTTCAGACAAAAGGCTGTCCAATCTCTTCTTTAAACCTTCCAGTGTTGGAGAATTCGCAATTTCTGGAGGCGGGTGGTTCCACGGGTTAATTGTTCTCACTCTCAGGAAGTTTCTTCGTAGTTCTAGGTTTATAGGGATAGTAGGCCCTCTCTGGGAATGCCTTCATTTAAGAGTGGGCTGGTTGTGGACTTCTAGATTCAGGGGAGACATTGCCTCTTAAAGTTGATCCCAAATCTGTCCACCGAGTGGAGTTGATCCCAAAAATGATCCGAGTGGAATTGACATACGATATGAAGCGGTTCTCCGTCGAAAAGTCACATTTATGAATGTTAACTTGGTTTGGTGGGCTGTATCTTTCAACTACACCTAGTCCTCGACTTGCGAACACAATTAAGCTCCAAATTGGTCGTTAAGCAAGACATTGAGGTCAGTTTTGCCCCATTTTACGACTTGGCTGTTAAGAGAATCCCTGCAGTTGTTAAGTGAGTAACCCGGTTGTTAAGTGAATCCGGCTTCCCCCGTTGACTTAGCTTGTCAGAAGGTGGCAAATGGGAATCGTGTGACCCCCCGGGACGCTGCGACCGTCATAAATACGAGTCAGTTGCCAAGTGGCTGAATTTTGATCATGTGACCCACGGGGAGGCTACAACAGTCCTAAGTGGTGAAAAAGCGGTCCTCGGTCGCTTTTTTCAGTGCCGGTCGCTAAATGAACGGTTGTAAATTGAGGACTTGGTACAATGCTGTCAGCAGTCAGCTGCTGATCACGTCCGCTGAGGTCTCCTTTTGTTGTGCCAAGCAAGCTTCAAGCCGGGCCAAGTTTGTGTAGAGTTTTGTCCGGAGCTGAGGTGACAAACTCTGGATCTATTTTGGGAGCGAGCGACAGCTGTCGCATTATCACTTTGGCAAAGACGATTGCACAACCTGAGGAAAATGAATTTTCTGGAAGACGAGCCGTTCGTTTTGGTGCTTTGCCAAGTAGGAGATGCCCAGTGTGTCATTTCTGAGTTTAATAGGCAAGATTCCAGGGGACACACACTCTATTTGTGCCAGCTCTAATCTCTCATTGCAGGGACTCTCCTGCAGGGGATAGCACAAAAACACACACACATACGCAATTTATCTCAAAGGTGCTTTTTCAGGAGGCAACTGGACTTTCTTGTTTTTCCTTTGAAGATGTTTCGCTTCTCCTCCAAGAAGCTTCTTCAGCTGTGACCGGATGGTGGGAAGGGAAGGATTTATACTCCTTGCAGACAGCTGGTCATTTGCATTCTTTTAGAGAGTTGTTGAGGCCACTGGGAGTTTTGTCTGTGTCCTCAGGGTCAGCTGAGTGGTGTAGCCTTCTCTCAACAGAGGGGAAGAGATACAATATCATCCATCTCCAGTCTACAACACGGTCCTTTCACCGGTTCCTAGAAGGCTCCACACCCATTGGCCCCACTCAGGGGATCTTGAGGACACAGACAAACATCCAAGTGGCCTCAGTGACTCTCTAAAAGAATGCAAATAGAATAGAAAATAGAATAGAATAGAATTTAGAATAGAATTTAGAATAGAAAATGGAATGGAATAGAATAGAATAGAATTTAGAATAGAATTTAGAATAGAATATGGAATGGAATGGAATGGAGTAGGATAGAATAGAATTTAATTTAATTTAGAATAGAATATGGAATGGAATAGAATAGAATATAATTTAGAATAAAATATGGAGTGGAATAGAATAGAATAGAATAGAATAGAATTTAGAATAGAATTTAGAATAGAAAATGGAATGGAGTAGAATAGAATTTAGAATAAAATATGGAATGGAATAAAATAGAATAAAATTTAGAATAAAATATGGAGTGGAATAGAATAGAATAGAATAGAATAGAATAATAGAATAGAATTTACAATAGAAAATGGAATGGAGTAGAATAGGATAGAATAGAATAGAATTTAGAATAGAATATGGAATGGAATAGAATAGAATAGAATTTAGAATAGAATATGGAATGAATAGAATAGAATAGAATTTAGAATAAAATATGGAGTGGAATAGAACAGAATAGAATAGAATAATAGAATAGAATTTAGAATAGAAAATGGAATGGAATGGAGTAGAATAGGATAGAGTAGAATAGAATTTAGAATAGAATTTAGAATATGGAATGGAATAGAATAGAATAGAATAGAATAGAATAGAATAGAATAGAGAATGTAAAAATAGAATAGAATGGAACAGAACAGAACAGAACAATAGCAATAACACTTACACACCGCTTCACAGTGCTTCACTGCCCTCTCTAAGCGGTTTACAGGGTCAGCATCTTTGCCCCTCCCAACAATCTGGGTCCTCATTTTACCGACCTCAGAAGGATGGAAGGCTGAGTCAACCTTGAGTCGGTCCAGGATCAAACTCCTGACAGTGGGCAGAGTTTGCCTGCAATACTCCATTCTAACCACTGCGCTACCACAGCTCATTAAAAAATGGGAGAAGCAGGGGGAAGGAGCCACCCAGTTGCTAGTCCTCACGGTTGCCGCTCTTTTCTGTTTCTTCCCTTTGTCAGAACGTAGCGGATCGGGTAGCCAGCCTGCCACTGGTCAGCTCCGCCTACGACATGGTCTCGGCAGCGTACACCTCTACGAAAGAGAGCCATCCCTACATGAAGTCGGTTTGTGACATGGCCGAGAAGGGAGTGAAGACTATTGCCTCGGTGGCGGCCACCGGCGCCCAGCCCATCCTGAACAAACTGGAGCCACAGAGTGAGTAAATAACCCAAACGCTGCTAAATGAAACGGTGGTCCCTTCTCCCTCTCTTGGGCTTTTTGCAAAAGGCGAGTGGACTTCGTTTTTCCCTTGAAGACATTTCGCTTCTCATCCAAGAAGCTTTTTCAGTTCTTTATATATATATAAAGTGGTAAAGTGGTAAAGTGGCCCCATAGAACAAGGGATAACAACTGGTATGTAAATGAGGAGTGTGGAAAAGAGGAGAGGGGGACAGGGAACACGGCGCAGCAAGACCACCAGGGCAGGGAAGGAAGGAGAGTGAGAGGGGGGAGGGATTGAGGGATACGGAGAGTCTGAATGACCAAAAAAAGGGGGGGGAAAGAGTTCACCGGACACAAGGCCACATGCAGAGATAATGAGTAGCATCACACACGTAGGCAGGGGAGGCAAGAAAAGATTAGTCACCGGCATGAAAGCTGTAATTAAGGCGCAGCCCAATCAGTTGGGACCGGTGACAAGATCCAGGAGCGCACACGTCTGATGCACAACAAATATTTTCTCGAGAGGGTATCTGACCGTAAATCGGGACTGCTACAGCCTTCTAAGGCTGCTTTCGAACCACACGTAAACACAATAATTTGAAAAAATCAAATAATATGAGGACTACGAGTGTAAAATAACTAAACTTCTACTAATATGGGTCCTCAGTGCAAAAATCAAAATTACAAGTTAGTAGTATATATATCATCATCATCATCATCATCATCATCATCATCATCATCATCATCATCATTATTATGATATAATAATAATAATAATAATAATAATAATAATAATAATAATAATAATAATAATAATAATAATAATAATAATAATAATAATAATAATAATAGTAAAGTTGAAAGGGACCTTGGAGGTCATCTAGTCCAACCCCCTGCTCAGGCAAGAAACCCTATATACCATTTCGGACAAATGGCTGTCCAGTCTCTTCTTAAAAACCTCCAGTATTGGCGCATTCACAGCTTCTGGAGGCAGGTTGTTCCACTGGTTAATTTTTCTAACTGTCAGGAAGTTTCTCCTTAGTTCCAGGTTGCTTCTCTCCTTGATTAGTTTCCACCCGTTGCTTCTTGTCCTGCCTTCAGGCACTTTGGAAAATAGCTTGACTGCCTCTTCTTTGGGGCAGCCCCTGAGATATTGGAAGACTGCTCTCATGTCCCCCCTTGTCCTTCTCTGTTAAACTAGACATACCCAATTCCAGCAACCGTTCCTTATATGCTTTGGCCTCCAGTCCCCTAATCATCTTTGTTGCTCTTCTCTGCACTCTTTCTAGAGTCTCAGCATCTTTTTTTACATCGTGATGACCAAAACTGGATGCCGTATTTCAAGTGTGGCCTTACTAAGGCATTGTAAAGTGGTATTAACACTTCATGTGATCTTGATTCTATCCCTCTGTTAATGCAGCCTAGCACTGTGTTGGTTTTTTTGGCAGCTATAGTCTATATAGTCTATATAGTCTAATCTATAATTTACTATAGACTAGATGACCTCCAAGGTCCCTTCCAACTTTTTTTTTTTTTTTATTATTTTTTTTTTTTTTTTTTTTTTTTTTTTTTTTTTTTTTTTTTATTATTATTATTATTATTATTATTATTATTATTATTATTATTATTATTATTATTATTATTATTATTATTATTACTATTAAAACCATTTAGTGGCTTCCTGAAGTTATTTATTAGTTATTTAGATTAAGGGGCACAAGTTACAGGGGCTGAAATTACAATTGGCACAAGTTATTACACTGGGGAAAAAGTGACTTATGACCGTTTTTCACACTTACGACCGGCGTAGCATTCCCCCATGGTTACATAATCAAAATTTGGGTCCTTGGCAACTGGCTCATATTTATGACGGTTGTGGCATCCCGGGATGTCGTGATCACCCTTTGTAACCTATCCCAGCAGGCTTCCGACGAGGAAAGCCACTGGGGGAAGGCAGATCTGCTTAACAACCGCAAAATGGTTGCTAAATGGGTTTTGCCCCATTTTGCAACCTTTTTTGGCCAGTTTGGTGAATCACTGCAGTCATTAAGTGAATCGTGTGGTTGCTAAGTGAATCTGTCTTGCCCCCCATTTACACTGCAGTTCTGTGGTCCGTCCTCTGCATATCCTGACCCACGTAGAAAGGAGAGGTGCTCGGCCACCATCTTGACTTTTTTGACCTCCAGATAACCTTTTCTTTCCCCAGTTTCCACAGCGAATGAATACGCCTTGAAAGGTTTGGACAAGCTAGAAGAGAAATTGCCAATTCTTCAACAGCCAACTGATAAGGTAATTAAAATCCTTCCTTCCTTCCTTCTTCCTTCCTTCTCATTTTATTATTATTATTATTATTATTATTAATTCCATTTATATCCCGCCCTTCTCCTTTCGGACTCAGGGCGGCTGACAAATGATAAAAAGCTAACATAAATACATATTACACCTAATTAAAATTTAATTAAAACGAAATATTTGAGAGTGTCCAATTAAAAGTAATTAAAACCCCTATAAAATCCCCTAGGCCAGTCCCGCTTGCTGGAACAACCACGTCTTGAGGGCGCGGCGGAAGGAAGGGAGATCAGGGATCACCCTGATCTCTGGGGGCAGTTCGTTCCAGAGGGTGGGAGCTCCCACAGAGAAGGCCCT